GGGGGGGGGGGGAGAAACGGCTAAAAGAGAAAGACAGCCGCGTCAAACGAATGACACAGAGCCTCTAACACCCCGGTAACGTCGCAGGGGGCGGTGTTTAACGTCCCCAGGGCGTGAAACACCCCCCTCACGCTGGTCGGCGTTAGAGACATTTCCAGTACCCTAAGTAGTTCAATCTCTTTTTATCTATGTATTGTTGTTTCGAATTGAGGTTCATAATTTATTCTTCATCTATCTCAAAGTATAGTTTCATTTTCTTCTCAAAGAAACAATTTTGTATTCCCTAGTTTATTACTCCGTCTCACAAAATCTTTCTTTTTTCTTTTTTCTACTAACTGTTTCAAAAAATCTTTTTTTATTTCTATTAAAATGTAACTTTTACCCATACTAAATTTTAAACTATATATCACATCACATTTTCACTATTAATCTATTCATCATATCTTACTTTTACACATCACATCCAAAGGTATTTTTGGAAAGTCAACACCAAAATACACTCCTCTTAAAATCTTTAAGAGTCAAAACCAGAAATATTTTATTTGTACTCGGTATTCTATTACTTCCTCCGTTTTCAAAAATACTTCATCTTTCATTTTTTCAACTTCCAACAAAACACTTCCACTTTCTACTAAAAATCATTTTTACCTTTACTTTTTCATACCCTACCTATCACCTTATACTTTTTTTCTAATAATCTATCAATTACATCATGGACAAATTTGAGGCCCCGTTTGGTACACAGAATTCAAAGTATGAAATTGGAATTAGGGACATCAATTATAATTCTGGTATTTGGTAGCACAAAAATTATGTGGATTTGGAATTGATAGTGTAAAAAATGAATTGGAATTGGTAAAATTCAATTCTATGGAATTGAATCCCATGGAATTTCATTTCTCATTCAATTCCAATTTCGTCAATTCCGTATACCAAACGAACCCTGAAAGTCAATTACAATTTAACACTTCATTAATTATTTTTACATTTGATCAAAATTGAAACTCTTTTTTAGAACGGAGGGAGTACATTATTTATTTTCTTTCTCATGTGCATAATTTTTAGCCGCCCAACTGGAGATGGAGGGAATAGTTCCTATATCCATAAGCGTAAGCTAGATCATTAATGGTAAATGCAATGGTAGATCTAGAGGCTCACCTAATTAATCTTTTACACTCATTCATTATTAATCTACGTGTCATATCATACAATTTTTCTAATAGTCTACACATCACATCTTACTTTACCTATTACACTAAAGGCATTTTTAAATAGTCGATACAAAAATATCCTTCTATAAAATTTCTTAAAAGTCAAAACGAAAACATCTTTTAGAGACGGAGAAGAAAAACACCATCATTAATGAAAAATATGTAAAAGATTAAATTATTTTATAAAGGGAGAAATACGAAAATAGCACTTTAATAGCCTTATAATACTCAAAATAGCAGTGCTATTAGTTTTTGGGATGAATTCCCATTTTTGCCCTTAAATAAACTCCCAAAATTAGAATTATACTGCAATGTATACTCTTCACTGCCACATTATAAATAAGTATGAAATTCTCTGCTCTTCACTGCCACAATATGTTTGAGATTGAATTTAGTGCCCTAACACATACAACACTGCCAAAAAAGCAGAATTCATTTTAAGCCGTGACCTTTTATTTTTTATGATAATTATACACTGCCACAATATGTACTTCCAAAAATTCAATGTCTGAAATATACTGCCACAATATATACACTATCACAATATATCTACACTGCCACAAAACACAATAATTAAAACTAAAAATACAACAAAATCTGAATAAAAGGATGCAAGATAAAATTTTAACATTTAATCCTCACACTGCCCACACCATAACACCTAATCTTCACGCTGCGAAAATCACAATGCCTTTCAAAAGACCTAATTTTTCAAAAAGGACAAATACTTGGTATTTCAAAATTGATTTCACAACATACACCTAATCTTCAATACAAAGAAAACACAATAATTAATACTAAAAATACAGGGAAATCCAAATAAAAGGATGAAGGAATGAAAATTAAAAATTGAAGGAGAAGAGAAAATGATTAGCGACATCAAAGATTAGCATGGGAGAGAACCTGATGATTGCCGCTGCTGATCAGCCAAGGAATCGTGGGCGAAGGACTGAGGAGGCATTATCGCCGGCGAACGGAAGGAGAGATTGGAGTTGAATGCCGTAATTTTTAACGAAAAAAAAGAAAAAGGGGTAAAGGGTATGATAGGAAATGATTGACACCATAAATTGCTAAATTTGTTAAAAACAATGAGTAGTGTTAAATGCATAATTTAGGGTGAGTTAGAGTGCTATGTAGGGTGATTTCTTTTTTATAAAACATCCCAACTTTATTTACTCCCTCCGTCCCACAAAACCCTTCTCCTTTCATTTTTCATCCGTCCCAAAAAACTCTTCTCGTTTCAATAAGAAAGTCACTCTTACCCCTATTAATTATTAACCTACTTATCACATCACACTTTTTATAAATTTAATCTACCCATCACATCAAAGGATATTGTTGAATTCTATGAAACCATGGATTTTACTTAAGCAATAGAGGTGAATACATGTGGGTATATATAGCTAGAGATCCTAACACAATTAGGATTCTTCTAATATGGTAACTAACTGTAATACAATTCTACCATAACTAGGAATATTACTATAGTGCCTAACATCCCCCCTCAAGCTGAACGCTGTGAAACGAGTGGAAGCTTGGAAACCAAAAGAGTATAGCGTGGGGTCGGTAAGGTTTTGGTGAGGAGGTCGGCCAGCTGCTCCTCAGACGGAACATGCGACACAGTCATTTGTTCTGCAATGACTTTTTCCCGCACAAAATGACAATCGGTACCCACATGCTTCATGTGTTTGTGAAAAACTAGATTCTTGGTTAAATAGATAGCGGACTGATTGTCACAGTAGAGATGTGGTGGAGGGAGCTTAAGCTTCAGAATGTCAAACAGATAGGAGAGCCACATTACCTCAACGGCAGTAGCCGAGAGATCCTGGTACTCGGCCTCGGTTGACGATTAAGATACACGAATTTGTTTCTCTGTGCTCCAGGAGATGAGATTCGAACCAAAATAGACCAAGTAACCTGTAATAGAGCGGCCATCTGTCATATCATTTGCCCAATCAGAATCAGAATAGGCTTGCAGCATTTGTGATCCTCTACGAAATACTAACCCCCGATCAATTGTGCCTTTTACATAGCGTAGGATACGTGTCAACGACTAGAATTCTCGTTCTGTAGGAGCATGCATACGCTGACATTTACCGCAAACTGAATGTCTGGCCTGGTATTAGTCAAATATTGTAGTGAACCAACCAAGCTGCGGAAGAAGGTGGGATTTGCAAAGGGACCGTCCGCCCCTTCCTCAAATGACCATACCAGAATAGGGGTTGGCGACGTCTTGCACTCCTCCACACCAGCTTTCCGAAGTAAATCCCGGGAATATTTTTCTTGAGAAACAATAATATAATCCTTCGTACGTTTGACTTCAAGATCCAAAAAATAGTGAAGAGGGCCGAGATCCTTCATCTGAAACTCGCATTGCATGGAGTGAATAAATGCAGTGATAAGAGAGGGATCACTACCAGTGACAATAATATCATCCACATATACCAGAACAATAAGGACAACATAAGTGGAGTGCTTGACAAAGAAACTGGTGTCATGCTCATTTTTGCCAAAACCATAGTCCTGTAAAAAACGTGAGAGTCGCTCGTACCAGGCCCGGGGAGCCTGTTTGAGTCCATATAAGGACTTCCTCAATTTGCACACATGGCGTGGGTACTTCTGATCAATATAGCCAGGTGGCTGCTTCATGTATATCTCATCGGGGACTACTCCATGAAGAAATGCGTTGGAAACATCCAACTAATGCAGTGGCCAGTTATGATTTACAACAAGAGAGAGAATCAAGCGAATGGTCTGTTGTTTGACACCTTTGCCACCTTTACTCAGAGAAGTCCAAGCCATATTCATGTGTATACCCCTTTGCCACCAACCGGGCTTTGTACCTGCTAATAGAACCATCAGAGTTACGTTTAATTTTGTAAATCCACTTACAACCAATAGGAACCCGATCTGTAGGACAAGGAACCATGTCCCATATTTGCTGATTTACCAAGGTAGAGTATTCTTCGTCCATAGCCTGACACCAATAATTACTTTGGGAGGCTTCCTTATATGTAATAGGCTCAGTATTAGGTGGGAGAGAGTGAGGGACAGAAGTAGAATAGAGTTTGGGTTTGAAAATACCACTTCGGGCACGAGTTTGCATGGGATGGCAGAGTGGGGGTGGGGGGAGTAGGGATTGGATTTGATTCGGGACTTGGGCTTCGGCTGGGTTGGGTGACGGGTGGTGTTGGGCTTCGGCTAGGCTGTAGGGCAATGGGTTGGGGCGGGCTGTGTTGTAGGGCAGTGGGGTGGGGTGGGCTGGACTGTGCGGGAGTGGGTGGGCTGGGCGGTAGGGTAGTGGGTGGCCTCTAGTGGGCCGTAGAGTGAGGGGAGGCAGCGGGCAGGGGAATGGGTTGGCGAGTTTCTACCGACGTAGGGACCCCGTGAGCATGGGATGATTCAAGGGATGAACGATCGGGAAAGATTGGGAGGACACCAAAGAAAGATTCAGGAGGGGTATTCGATGACACATTGGGGGAAGACCCATGGGAGTAAGGAAATTGGTTTTCTTGGAATTCGACATGACGCGACACGTAGACCAGTGGAGAGGTCATAACAACAAAACCCCTTGGAAGAGGAATCATACCCGTGGAATATGCTACGTTTGGAGCGAGGTTTAAATTTTTGGGTTATTTCATGACGGAGACATGGGTAGGCGAGGCATCCAAAGACGCGAAGGATAGAGTAGTCAGGGCGTCTATGGTAGAGGGATTCATATGGGGATTGGTTTTGATGGGACCGCTTTGGCATGCGATTAATCAGAAAATTTTACGTAGCCAAAGCTTCAACCCAGAATTTAACGGGAAGGGATGTCGTGCACAATAGTGTCACGAGAGTCTCAACTAAGTGACGATGTTTACGTTCAACAACCCCGTTCTGTTCAGGGGTGTAGGGACATGATTTTTGATGAAGAACCCCCATGCTTTGTAAAAATATCCCAAATCGGTGATTAATATATTCACGACCATTATCAGTTCGGAAAATTTTAATTTGAGTTTGGAACTGAGTTTAGACCATAGCTTGAAAACTTTGAAAGGCATGAAATGCATCAGATTTACTCTTAAGAGGATAGAGCCAGCAAAATTTGGTATAATCGTCAATAAAATTAATATAAAACTGAAAACCCCCAAATGAGGGTACATAGGTGGGTCCCCATACATCAGAGTGAACTAAATCAAAAGGGGAAGATGCTTTTGTTTCAGATACAGAAAAGGGAAGCTTATGGGATTTAGCAAGGGAACAAGAATTGCAATGATCAAGTTCTTGGAATTTAAACCCTAGTTGTGCTAATAAGGACTTGGTAACTTGAACAGATGGATGACCAAGACGACAATGCCATTGATGGGGGGTGACTTTGACCATGTTGACCACGGGTGACTTGGATGCTGGGATGGAGTACAAACCACGCTCACTGGGGCCCTTGAACAACACTTGATTGGTACGGTTGTCCCGAATCGTAAAATCCTTAGATGTAAAAAGGAGAGAATAATTATTATCTTTGGTAAATTGGTGGACAAAAAGAAGATGAGAATTAATATTAGGTGAGTGGAGTAGATTGGGTAAGTGAAAAGTATGATGGGAGGTGGTTAAAATACATGAGCCTGTGTGATTAATGAGATAAGTATTACCTCCTGCAGTAGTTTTAGAGTTGGTGCCTTGATATGGTGAAGAGGACTGCAAACGAGATAAATCAGAAGTCACATGAGCATTTGCCCATGTATCCAGATGCCAATTCGAATTGGTGTCAGTGGACTGAGTGGTGTAGTATGCCTGGGAAGGACCATAGTAGGACTCATCAAAGCGGTGCCAAGAATCCCAGACCGCGTGACCTGGCTTCCCACAGAGCTGACAAGTGACGGGACCAAGCCGTGGCCCCCCTCTACCACGGTGATCATCCCGCTGGTGACTAGGAGGACGGCTGCCCCTTCCGCCGTACGTACCTCCGCCTCGAGAACTGCCCCTGCCGCAGTAACCACCGCGTCCCCGGCCGCGAAAATTACCCTGGCCAGAATATGTGAAAAGGGCGTTGTGAATTTCCGAAGGAGATGACGAGGCAGAACCTATTATTTGTAATTGTTTCTTAAGATTGACGTTGAGTTCTTCCGATAGAAGCCATGCCGAGACTTGATTCAAATTGACATTCCCAATATTGGTTCGAATGTTCTGTTTCAAGGAACTATAATCTGTTGGCAGTCCACAGAGTATGCATAGTATGACGTCTTGGTCCGAGATATTTTCATGAGCCAGAGTAAGGGAGGAAACAATATTCAAGACATTGTCAAGATAGGTTTGCATGGAATCACTCCCTTTTTGAAGATTGTGGAGACGTTCTTTCAACTTGAAAATATGGGTGCGAGATAGAGAATTATACCTTTGTTCAAGGTGAGTCCATATGGTTGCAGATGTGGGAAGAGCATGAATGTGTGTTTGAACAGTGGGGGAAACGATGGCCAATAAACATGCACGGATCTGGGCATCAACGACCATCCAAGTTTCATATGCCGGATTGTCCTTCATAATTGGAGGATCCTCCTTGCCCGAAGCAGTGGCTTTGCCATCAAGAATGACGGAGGGAGGCGCCGGTCCTGTACCATCAACGTAACTAAGGAGACGGTGAGCCATGAGATTAGCTCTAATGGTGGCTAACCAAGAGGGATAGTTCGAATCATCAAGCTTCGTCGGAGTGAGAGATTGAAGATTCCGGATGAACAACTTGAGACCCGTAGGAAGTCGATCCATAGGATCGGTGGACGGCGAAGACATGGTGATGGATAAGAGGAAGCTTCGGTGGAAGAGCAGGAGGAATCGGCAGAGGGCAGAAGCCCTAGCCGCAGGGTTTTTTTCTTGCGTTAATGAACAAAAGGGAAGAGGGGATCTTTTAGCTTTGATACCATGTTGAATTCTATGAAACCATAGATTTTACTTAAGCAATAGAGGTGAATACATGTGGGTATATATAGCTAGAGATCCTAACACAATTAGGATTCTTCTAATATGGTAACTAATTATAATACTCCATCTATCCCTGAAAATCTTTCTCTTATCTTTTTTCATTCATCCCAAAAAATACTTCTTATATCTATTAAAAAGTCACTTTTAGCCCTTATTTTTTCATACCCTACCTATCACATCATACCTTTTTACTAATAATCTACCCATCAAATCCTACTTTTACACATCACATCAAAAGACATTTTTGGAAATTCAATCCCAAAATACACTTTCCTGAAATCTTTTTAAAATCAAAACATCTTATGTTTAAGGGGACGGAGGGAGTACAATTCTACCATAACTAGAAATATTACTATAGTGTCTAACAAATATTTTTGGAAAGTCAACACTAAAATACATTTTCCTTAAATCTTTTAAAAGTCAAAATGAGAAGTTTTTTGTGGGACGGATTATATATTTAGCCCGGCCATGGGCCATGCCCAATATCATTAATCCGCGCGCGAATGCATGTGACGACAATAAGAAGTGAAAGAGGGAAGACACCTTATATGTACATAGGTTGGATCATCATCACTCATGCAGTTGTAAATTTGACCCAGTCCAAAATTACATTTTGGGGTCTATTTTATTTTTTAAAATATTTTTGCTTTAAAATTATCAACAGATTTTAAAAATACGAGGCACTAAAATTATTTTAGGGGTGTTGACCTTTCACATCACGCTGGCCATCTACCACAATGGAGTTTCTTTACTTTGAGAAACAAAACCAATTCTTTCTTTACGCTCTTTATAATGATAGACGTGACTGCTGAGACGTGCATGCAATTAAATGGGATAACGTGGCCAAGTGCACATCCCACTACCACTACGTTAGATACTCCTTTTTTAATGAGAAATGCTAGAGTCACAAATACTTCGGTCACAAAATACATAACCTTGTCATTTGTGCACCTCACTAAATAAATAAAATGGCGTTGAATAATTAAAAAGTGAACATTTCAATACATAAATGGTAAATTTGTGTATTTTGTAACCGAAATGTTTGTGACTCTAGCATTTCTTTTTTTTAATACTCCCTCCGTCCCAAATTGTTTGCCACATTTGTATTCCTGAGACAAAATATCAATAAACAAAAGTTTCCGACACTGCTGAAAAAGCAAATGTTGTGAATATTTAGGGACGGAGGGAGTAGTTTTTTAATCGAAAGTGATTATGTTTTAGTTTTATTTAATTAAATTATCCTTTTTAATTTCTTTGTTTTAGCTCGATTATTTATTTAAAAGCATTTGCAATGGGGAGCTGATTCCGCCGCGCCACACGCTCTTTTTCCTTCCGCCTTCCGGCGAGGCTGATTTCGGCCGTGGCGCGGCTCTTTTTCCTTCTGGCGAGGTTGATTTCGGCTGTCCCTTGTAAATGCCCTTATACTCCGTCCCTTTCTGCAAACAATTTCACTTATATTTTCACTCTTTCCAAGAAAACATTCACTCTTTATTACAAAAACTATTTTACCCCTTACTCATATTATCGAATATATCACTTGGTTTCTATTTAGTACTCCTCCGTCCCGGAAAATATGGGAGTTTTGATTTTGAAGAGGGATTTAAGAGAGTGTATTTTGGTATTGAATTTCTAAAAATGTCCTTTGATGTGATGGGTAAAAGTATGATTTGATGGATAGATTATTAGTAAAAAGGTATGATGTGATAGGTAGGGTATGAAAAAGTAAAGGCTAAAAGTGACTTTTTAATAGAAATGAGAAGTGTTTTTTGGGACGGGTGAAAAAAGAAAAGAGAAAGGTTTTCAGGGACGGGGGGAGTATTAATCTACCTTTCACATCTAAAAAAAATTAAGAAGTCAACTACAAAATAGAGTTTCCCATATAAAATTGTTAACCAGTCAAAATTGGAAATGTTTCTTCTGTTATGAATAATTCAGTTTCGTAAGTGTCTTTGACTTGGTCTAGGTACTACCAAGTCTCCAGGAGTTTTTTATGGCATTTGTTATTCCTTTGAATAAGTAATTGGTGCCAGGATGTGGCTCCATGATTAGTTGCTACTTTGTAGGGAATTTGTTATTTTCTTGCTTATATATTAGAAATCTGGGCAGATGAATAATACACTGAAAACCATTTGCTCCAAACAATTTCTTCCTTTCTGTTTTTTGTTTTAAACAATTAATTCCAACATTTGGTATCAGAGCGCCGGGTGATTCGTGGTGGAAATCCGAAATGGGCAAGCATGGAGTATCAACCCCAATGAAGGACGCAGGCTCTGGTGGGAGTCCATCCTCGATGGGAACACCAGTGAAGGAAGGTAACTTGACGTTACAGTATCCGGTGTTAACCAACTCAAACTACCCTATGTGGGTGGTGAAAATGAAGGCCAATATGCGTGCTCAAGGTGTGTGGAGCGATATTGTTCCGACGGCAGAAGGCGAGGTTGAAGAACGCAAGGACCAAGCAGCTCTTGCAATCATTTTCGGAGCGGTTGATGATGAGAGCTTCATGCATATTTCCGCCAAAGAGACGGCGAGAGAGGCCTGGGAAACACTCCGAACGGTGTATCTCGGAGACGAGCGGGTGAAGGAAGTGAAACTTCAGACTCTACGGTTCGAGTTTGAAGGACTTCGGATGACAGAGTCAGACACGGTGGATAGCTTTGGTGCGAAGGTGACTAACCTGGTCAGCCAGATCAGGGCTCTTGGCGACAAATTAGAGGAGTCTCAAGTCGTCAGGAGGGTGCTGCGATCACTGCCAGAGAAGTTCGCGCACCTAGAGGCAACCATCGAGGAGTATGGTGGCCTCGAGAAAAAGAAATTGGAGCAAGTCTTTGGTTCCCTTAAGGCGCATGAGGAGCGCCTACAAGCTTATGCACCACGTCAAGATCAACAGGTGTTGTTGATCAAATCTGATCAAAAGTCACAGGAGGTGGCCGAGAGCTCTAACGCTGGAGGGCGAGGGAAAGGAGGAAGAGGACGTGGTCGCGGACGCGGTCGTGGAAGAGGCCGTGGAAGAGGAAGATCTGGAGATAGACAAGCTCCAGACAAGTCCAAGGTAAAGTGCTACTGCTGTGGAAAATTAGGGCACTATGCCTCGGATTGTCGAAGCAGGCCATCGGAGGAGTCGAACCTGTCAAAGGTAGAGGAAAATCAGCCCGCTATTCTCATGGCTGAAGAGACGTCGATAAAAGGAAAAGGAGTACAGGAGGTGTACTTGAATGAAGAGAAGGTCGTCCCGGTAACTTCCGAAGGTGACGCATGGTACTTAGATTCGAGAGCAAGTAGTCACATGACCGGGTCGAGGAAGATGTTCGCGAGTCTTGATGAAACGGTGAAGGGAGCAGTGCGATTTGGTGATGGTTCAAAAGTCGCAATTGAAGGAAGAGGTTCTGTCCTCTTTGAAGGAAAAAATAGAGTCCATCGGATTTTGGCGGGGGTATATTTCATTCCCCAAATGAAAACTAACATCATTAGTTTGGGTCAACTTGATGAAAGGGGCTGCAAGGTGGTGATCGAAGCTGGTGTGATGAGAATATTCGATCCCGAGAGGACGTTGCTAGCTAAGGCGGAAAGAAACAAGAACCGGATGTACAAGCTGGAGTTGAAAACCAGAGAACCAGTGTGTTTGCTAGTAGAGAATCATAAAATCGAATGGCTGTGGCATGCTCGCTACGGTCATTTGAATTTCCGGGCTCTTCGCGATCTTGGTGAGAAGAAAATGGTGGAAGGTGTGCCGACCATCAAACACCCTGATCAGGTATGTGGAGGTTGTTCCTTAACAAAACAGCCGCGAATGCCTTTTCCAAAGCAAGCGTCATTTAGAGCGGAGAACGGCCTAGAGCTCTTGCACATTGACTTGTGCGGGCCTATATCTCCAATCACACCAGGAGGTAATCGTTATTTCCTTCTCATAGTTGATGACCATTCACGTTTCATGTGGGTGGAAATGTTGAAAAACAAGGCAGAGGCATTCCAACACTTCAAGAAGGTAAAGACATTGGTGGAGAAGGAGAGCGGCTTGAAGTTAAAGGCGATACGATTAGATTGCGGGGGAGAGTTCAATTCCCGTGAGTTCGTGAATTGGTGTAG